CAAAGAAGTCAAGCCGGCCACTTGACTTTCCAACGAATTGTTGGATTCCGCTGCCATAACTCTTTTTGATGATGACCTCCCATTATAATGCCTCGAGTTTTCGGCCAACTCGGAGATGAGGTCCCTTGCTTGAGAAGGGGTTTTGTTGACAATTGCCAAAGGATGGGCAACATCTCAAGGAGGAACGAAATGCCACAAAACCCCATGCTTTTCTGTGAGATTTTTGATGCATGGGGTATCGACTTCATGGGGCCTTTTCCAAACTCTCAAGGTAACATCTACATCCTACTTGCGGTAGATTACGTCTCCAAATGGGTGGAGGCAAAAGCAACAAAAACCGATGATGCCAAGGTGGTAGCAAACTTTCTCAAGTCTCACATATTTTCAAGGTTCGGGGTCCCTCGAATTTTAATAAGCGACCGAGGCACACATTTTTGTAATAAAATTGTGGGATCCCTACTAAAGAAATATGGTGTGACTCACAAGATCTCCACTGCTTACCACCCTCAAACTAATGGCCAAGCGGAGACCTCAAATAGGGAGTTAAAATCTATACTCCAGAAAACAGTGAATCCAAACAGGAAGGATTGGAGTATTCGCATTGATGATGCACTTTGGGCATACCGAACCGCCTACAAAACCCCAATCGGTATGTCACCTTATAGACTTGTGTTCGGAAAAGCTTGTCACCTTCCCGTAGAGCTTGAACACAAGTCATATTGGGCAGTAAAAGAATTCAACCTCAATCTTGACGAGGCCGGTATACACAGGAAGCTCCAATTACAAGAATTGGAAGAACTCCGCCTGGATTCTTATGACAATGCGGAGATTTACAAAAGAAAGACGAAGGAGTGGCATGATAAAATGATCATAAGGAAGGATTTCAAACTTGATGACAAAGTCCTCCTATTCCAATCACGCCTTCGTCTATTTCCGGGAAAGTTGAGATCCCGTTGGGCCGGACCATACAAAGTGGTCAAAAATCCATCCACACGGGGCGGTGGAAATTGAAGACCCGGAGACGGGAGAAGTACTCAAAGTGAACGGACAAAGACTAAAACCCTTCTTTGAAGGTTTTCAACCCAAGAACGTGGAGATCATAGACCTTTCTGAACCGGTCTATGAATGAAAGGGAAACGAAGATATCGTCGAGCCACGACGTTAAACAAAGCGCTTCTTGGGAGGCAACCCAAGCAAGGTATGTTTTCTTGTCAGCTTATTTCATTAAGCGCTTCTTATGGTATTCCCTTTTATCTTTGAATTAAATCCCATATAAATCGTTCATCTTCGTGTTTAATTTAATTAAATCACTCAACAATCAAAACCCCCCCTTTTACTTACTATTTATATAAAAAGAAAGTTATTCCTTTCCCTGTGGATACGAACTCTACTACACTATACTACGTATAAGTGTTAGTGTTGAAATTACTTTGAGTGCACTCACGACAAAGTGCACGTCATTTACTATGTGCCCAACTTAAAAACAAATATTCTAAGTATGAGACAACTCTTAGAAAAGGACTATGATATTCACTTAAAAAATCGTAGTCTTTCTCTACAAGACAATAATGGGAGACTAGTTGCTAAAGTGCCGATGACTAGAAACTGAATGTTCTTGCTTGATATTCAAAGAAATCAAGCCATATGCTTGAAAAGTTGCTTGAAAGACGAGCCGTGGATTTGACACTTAAGATACGGGCACTTAAACTTTGGTGGCTTGAAAATTCTATCGTCCAAAGATATGGTGAAGGGGTTTCCCTTCATCAATCATCCCGATCAACTATGTGAAGGATGTCTACTCGGTAAGCAATCAAGGAAACCATTCCCTAAAGAAGTTGCCTCAAGAGCTAAGGAGCCATTGGAGCTAATCCATACCGACTTATGCGGTCCTATTACTCCATGTTCTCATGGTAAAAGTAAGTACTTTCTCACTTTCATCGATGATTACTCAAGAAAAACATGGGCATATTTTCTGAAACAAAAATCAGAGGCCTTTGAAGCATTCAAGAAATTTAAGGCTCTTATTGAGAAAGAAAGTGGGTACGTTATTAAAGCCATGAGATCAGATCGAGGTGGAGAGTTCACATCAAAAGAGTTTAATCATTTTTGTGAAGATAATGGCATCCATCGTCCCATGACTGTCCCGCGTATACCACAACAAAATGGTGTTGCCGAAAGAAAGAATAGGACTATCCTCAACATGGGCCGAAGCATGCTAAAGACGAAAAATATGTCTAAAGAATTTTGGGCTGAAGCTGTGGATTGTGCTGTCTATCTTCAAAATCGGTGCCCCACGAAGAGTCTAGATGGAATAACTCCACAAGAAGCGAGGCATGGAGGTAAACTCGGAGTCTCGCACTTGAGAGTATTTGGATGCATTGCATATGCTCATGTTCCTGATCAGACTAGATCAAAACTCGACGACAAGAGTGAGAAGTTTATATTCATTGGATATGACAAACACTCAAAAGGGTACAAACTCTACAATCCGGATTTGAAGAAGCTTATAATAAGTCGTGATGTGGAGTTTGATGAAGAAGGCTCGTGGAATTAGAGCATTGGCGACAAAGAAGATTATAGCCTCTTACCATTCATGGAATATGAAGAAGTTGAAGAGAATCATGAAAATATAACTCCTCCACAATCTCCCACTCAATCTCAAGCTTCCCCACCAAGTTCGGATGAAAGAGAAATACCACGCATGAGAAGCATTGAAGAGCTTTACGAGGTAACACAAAACCTGAACTCAAATGATGAACTTACACTCTTTTGTCTATTTGGTGATTGCGAGCCACTGAGTTTTGAAGAAACCACAAGAAGCAATAAGTGGAGAGATGCAATGGATGATGAGATCAAGTCAATTGTGAAGAATGAAACGTGGGAGCTAGCTACACTTCCACCAAAGCATAAAGCAATCGGAGTGAAGTGGGTTTATAAGATCAAGAAAAATGCAAAAGGAGAAGTTGAGAAGTACATAGCAAGACAAGTGGCCAAAGGCTACACCCAAATACATGGCATTGATTATGAAGAAGTATTTGCGCCCGTTGCTAGATTGGAAACAATAAGATTGATAATCGCACTCGCGGCTCACAACAAGTGGAAGATACATCAAAGGGATGTCAAGTCCGCGTTCTTAAATGGGTTCCTAGAAGAAGAAGTCTATATTGAGCAACTGAAGGCTACAAGGTGAAAGGGCAAGAGGTTTAGGTGTTGAGGCTAAGAAAGACTCTTTATGGGCTTAAACAAGAACCAAGAGCTTGGAATAGTAGAATTGACCGATACTTCCAAGCTAATGGATTCGTGAAGTGTCCACAAGAACATGCTTCGTATGTCAAGAGAAATCATCAAGGAGACATATTGCTTGTGTGCATATACGTGGACGATCTCATCTTTACAGGTAATAACACGATGATGTTCGATGAGTTTAAGCAAGTCATGACAAGGGAGTTTGAGATGACTGACATTGGGCTTATGAGTTACTATCTTGGCATCGAGGTGAAACAAATGGATGATGATGGTATATTCATCACTCAAGAAGGATACGCGAGAGAAGTACTCAAGAAGTTCAACATGGAGAACTCCAACCCTGTAAGTACACCTGTTGAAAGTGGACTAAAGCTATCAAGGTATGATAAAGGAAAATTGATTGATCCAACTTACTTTAAGAGTCTTGTGGGGAGCTTAAGATACTTAACTTTTACAAGGCCGAATATTCTCTTCGGTGTTGGACTTGTTAGTCGATTCATGGAGGCCCCCACAACAACTCATTTGAAGGCCGCAAAAAGGATTTTGCGATATCTCAAAGGCACCGCAGAATATGGGCTGTTTTACTCTCCATCTGATGAGTTTAAGCTAGTTGGATATTGCGATAGTGATTGGGGTGGAGATATTGATGACCGCAAAAGCACAACTGGGTTCGTGTTCTACATGGGAAACACCGCTTTCACGTGGGTTTCAAAGAAGCAATTGATCGTCACCCCCATCTACTTGTGAAGCCGAGTACGTTGCAGCAACATCAGGTTTTTGTCATACAATTTGGCTCCGCTACATATTGCAAGCTCTCGGCATGTCTCAAGAAGAAACAACAACAATATTTGTGGACAACAAGTTAGCTATTGCATTAGCAAAGAATTCAGTGTTTCATGATCGAAGTAAGCACATAGACACTCGATATCATTTCATCCGGGGTAAGATAACGAAGAAGGAAGTTCAAGTAGAGTATGTGAAGACTCAAGACCAAGTCGCTGATATTCTCACAAAGCCACTCAAGCATGATGTCTTTGCAAAGATGCAGAATCTACTTGGTGTTACTAAGTCAAGTTTAAAAGGGGATGTTAGAAATTAAACTTGGCTTAGCCCAATAATTGGGCCCATTAGAAGTTAACTTATTGGGCTAATAGTTGTATGAGAAATAATAAATTAGTTAGCTCATAAGTTAGAGTTAGTATAGAAAGATCTAGAGTAGTCTTTATTTAATGTACTTATTAAATAATTCTAGAATGTTCCTAAGCTACAATTCTATGGAATATTGTAGAATCTTAAGAAAATAAGAGTGTCTAGAAGGATCCTGTGAGACCTATAAATAGAGCACTCCTCACTCATTTGTAATACAAGCCAAAACTCGAAATCAATAAGAGTTTCAAGTTCTTTCAAAACCATCTCTCTCTAAAATTCTCTCTTCCACACACAATCACCTAAATACAATACTCATAAACTCTTTTATTCCAACAAATTATTCATTTATCATACACATTTGGAAAAAAATTAACATAATCCTCTCACTGATTACGATTGTGTTAAATTCTTAAACCCATCATAAGTACTCCTATATATTAGTGTCAAAAAATAGTCAAAGCCGCAATAATAGCAAAACCTATGGAGTTTTTTGTTTGATGAGAATACACTTATGTACCAATGCACCATAGAAGCTAGCTACGGTGTACTCCGTATTTCCTAAACAATGGTTTAGTATGGATGAGGGAAAAGAAAAAGGGCAAAAGAAAAACAGTGAGTGAAACAGCCTTTTCTCTCTCTATTTATATCTATCTTTTTTTTCTCACCTGTGACTTCTCCCTTCTTTCTTCATCATCAACCACAAGAACAACAAAAAAACGGAACTGAAGACTACTGCATAATACTGCTCCCTCCCTTCTGCTACTATTCAATCCATCATTTTAGGTTTTCTTTTTCTTTCTTTTATGAACCCTGAAATCCAACAGTAACCTTAAAACTCGGGAGATCGATCGATCCCTCAGCTATAAAGACAGCAAACCCACAAAAGAATTTCGACATAGAACAGCAAGAACCAAAAAAGATCGAATCTTAGAGAGAGAGTAGAGAGAGAGAGAAATGGAGGGTGGAGGTTCCATGATAGCTTCTTTGTGTCCTATGATGATGATGATGCCTACCAGCAACGATCAAGAACACCACGGCGGAAACAACCACAATTCAACCGCCGCAGGTTATTACATGGATAACCTCGGCAGCCACAACCACCACGGTTGCGAGGAGGTGGCCGCCGGGAAGTGTGGCGGTTCTTCGCCGTCTTCATCTCTTAGCTCCGTTAAGGCCAAAATCATGGGCCACCCATACTACCACCGCCTCCTGGCCGCCTATCTCAGCTGCCAAAAGGTACGTCTAAATCGTAATATGTCATTTTATTACTTCACAATTTTCGGGAATATTTTTTGGGGATGAGAATTTAACCGATAAAAAGGTTATGTTTCTGATTTCCGAATTTTTCACCCAAAGTCCTCTCTCTCTCTCTCAAGAAGATCATTTTTCCCCTTTTAGAATTTTTTGGGTGTTATTTGTATTATAATAATATACACACGCGTTGGTGAAAGGGACACTAATAAGCTGCTACGGAAAGTCTAGAATGAGATGAAAACCTACTTATATGCATGTATAATAATATATTATTATTATTAATAATATTTTTATTTTATTGTCACAGATAGGAGCGCCGCCGGAGGTGGTGGGGAGGCTGGAGGAGGCGTGCGCGTCGATGGCGGCGATGGGTGGCCGCGGCGGGAGCAGCTGTTTGGGAGACGATCCGGGGTTGGACCAGTTTATGGAGGCGTACTGTGAAATGCTGACCAAGTATGAACAAGAACTCTCAAAACCCTTCAAGGAAGCCATGCTTTTCCTCTCAAGGATTGAGTCTCAGTTCAAGTCTCTAGCTCTTCCTTCTTCTTCTGAATCTGCTGGTCAACCTTCTTCTCATTTTCTTCTTATTTCTTCTCTAAAAGTCATGTTTTTCAAACTTAATTACAATTTACTCAATTTTTGATTCAGAATTAAGTAATTTTATTCTGGTTTTTTTTGTTACTGCTGATCGGTAATTAATTATGATCAACCTTTTCTGGCCGGACGAACTAGATCTCTTCTGCATGTTGCATGGTTTTCAAGAAACCGAGGGTTTTCAGTTCTGTTAATAATATAATTTCATTTCTTTAATATTATCTACGCAGTTTTAATTTTTCTTAAAGTTATGTGTGGATTTCTTGAAATATTAGGGAAATTACTAGTTAGGGGTTAGTAAATTATGATTTTATTAAAATAGCAATTTTTTTAGTTTTTACATAGATGTAAGTGAAAAAATTTGACCGTGAGCAAACAAAGATTGATATAAAAAAACAAATAGCTCAAAATAGATGTAGAACATGACCGAATTATTTTTTATTTCCAAAATTTGACTTGTCTAGTCTAATTAATATAAGTATATATACGATAAAACATTTCAAATGGGTCATTTTTATGAGTAAATATCCGTACTCACGTTTGATCAATCATTCAGGTAATGTTTATCTTATTTTTTGAATTTTTTTCATATTGAATTTTACAATTTAACTCATTTTATCCGTTTTTTCCCTATCATGTCCCTTGTATGTCTTCTTGCGGTTTGGATGCACCAATTTAAAATATTTCCCTCCTATAAAAGACGACATAGTTTGTCCTTATTTCACAGCTGTGTTTTGTATTTATTTTAATTTTAATAGATCAGATTTATTTTATATGTGTGTTCCGATTAAGGTTTTATCATTACACCTGACCATGATCGGACTGGTTGTTTCTAGCATGAAGGATGTGAACTGTAAAGGTGTCTTACTATACAGTAAAGCCCTAGTTTTAAAGCAATATTGGATCCTGTAAGTATGTGATGATGGGTATTCCAATTGTATGTGATTGATTTTGTACAATGTTTTTGAAATGACTTTAATTGGTACACCATGTGTGTAGCTAATGTCCTAAACCATACTGGTTTACTCATTGTTTTGGTAGGTAGGTGTCTCACTTACGGTCTATTTCCTGCTTCAATACCCTTTAAAATCTCAACCTCTTATGGCTTAGGTCTCTGTTCATAGTACCATCTGATATGCTTAAGTTATTCCTTATTAAAGTTTTCTTTTCCCCTAGCTAGTTTGCCAGGCCTGCCTCTACTGGGGTGGCTTAGCTTTTATGAAAGATAAGCTTTTTCTTTTTAAACACTAACTTCCATTGCAATTTTTTGGATGTGCTAGAGTACTGTTTTGAAGATGCATCCTGTAGGGAACTTTATGGTTTTTTTTTGTATGACAAAACAATACATTTGCCTAGCTAATTTTGTTTCATCTGAGATGGATTTGTATTTTGCTCTAACGATACAAGAAATGAAATGAAGGGTTAGGTATCCTAATTAATTATCTCATTTATTGGATTGGTGGTTATTCATGTCAAATCTCTTTAATGATTGGTAATCCACTGCTTTTTCTTTTTTGAGTACTCCTATTCTCTTGGGCTTAATTTTATAGTTTGTTCAGCTATGACTTGTTCTTGTTTGAATGGTTTAAATTTGGTTCGGTTTAATTTGATTTGGTTTAGTTTTGATTGTAATATTGTGTGCCAAGTCTATGCAAGTTCGTTTGAGTCTAGTTCGGTTTGGTCCGTTTAATTATATATTGTCTCACGATATTTTCACGTGAGTGTAAGAGTAGATAAGCGCAAGGAAACATATGCTAATTATATTACTCCCTATGACCCATAAAATTCTTCCCACTTGTCTTTTTGGGACGTCACAAAAAATTCTTCATGTTTCCCTTTTTGGAATGTTTTGTGTGACTACCATTCATTTATCTTTTTCTTAATCAACCATAACCATAGAATTTCACTTTATTCTCACTTTCTTAAACTTCGATCCAAGTCAAACTGGTAAGAATTTATGGGACGGAGGGAGTACATATTTTCTAAAGGCATGCATTTGTGATTCTATGGTCTTTTGTATACTATACATCATAACTTATGGGAGATCCAAGTTAAATGGGTGGTAGCCATATTTTGCAGTGTCAGAAGATTTGATACATCTTTTCAGTTAGTGTTTATTTGTTTAAGAAATAGATTCATTTTGAGACTGCAGCTGGGAAACAATATTTTTTTAGTACACATCATTATAAGGTAAGCTTTTAATAAGATGAATATGATTCAGAATCAAAATTTATACTATCTATATGTGTCCATTATTAGTCGAATTACTTCACCTACTAGAAAGTCATGTCCCAATAACTAGTTTGTAAGCATTGAGTTTTTTCTACTGGAATTACCATTTTCAACGAAATAAGCCACTAGAAAAGCTAGAGTCCACATGACATGGAATTTTTTCACCTAAAAATAGTGAAAAGTTTCCATGCAAACTAATTTAGTTAGCATGACCTACAAGTGAGTTATGGCACAGTCATAACTTATAGGATCAAATTGATAATGTTTTCATGTGTTTATATATGTGTGTGTGCTTATGAAACTTCATCTATAACTTCAATTGACAAATTTCGCGAGTTATGTTGTGAAGTAGCCAGTTTGTTATCAAATTGGCTATTATTTACTCTATGGATGTTACATTGTTAGCAGGAGCGGATGCAATGGATAGAAATGTATCATCTGAAGAGGAGGTTGACGTGACTACGGCATTCATAGACCCGCAGGTTGAAGATAGGGAGCTCAAAGGCCAACTTCTGCGTAAATACAGTGGGTACCTGGGAAGCCTCAAGCAAGAGTTCATGAAGAAGAGAAAGAAGGGGAAGCTGCCCAAGGAGGCTAGACAACAATTGCTAGATTGGTGGACTAGACATTATAAATGGCCATATCCTTCGGTATTTATATACATTCCTCCAACTATAGCTTTCTTTCTTTGAGTAATGTTACATGATATTAAGAGGCTAAGTACTAGTTGTGGTTTACGCTATGTTTTGAGAAAATGCCTTGGCTCTATGGAATTGAAATCCACACTCCAACCTATTAGTTGAATTTTTGTTTAGGACGAAAGTGCTTATAAATGCATAGTAGAATAATTAGTTATTCATAGTATAATGGATGATACCAAATATCATGCCCTTAGTCTTGGCATGATACAATAAATGTAACGTTTAGGCTCTATCTCAGAGCTCAATAAGATCAGAACATGAGGCTTAATTGGCTACAACTCTATCATTTTATAAGCTAATTTGAGTGCTGAATAAGCTTGATAAGTACTTCGTATTTCCTAATCTAGATATCTATATTTTCCCATATAGTGTCTTGTGGTGAAATTCTTTGATAAATTTTTATTTGCTAATCAAATTTAAAGTGAGAAGATCATAGTAAAGAGTATTTTGCAAATTTCAACATAAATATAATTCCATCATGTAGTTCTAATTTGCTCGAGTTTTGTTTGAATATATGTTCGAACTAGCTTCAAACTCGGCATGTATGAGCTTGAATATTGAAAAATGTTCAGTTTAATTTGCTAACAAATGGAGTCACAGTATATGAATTTAAGGGTCTCTATGGAGTAATATTTATTGTAATTGAAACGGTTGAATCTTCTAATTTTTGTAGAGATTGAAGTAAAAGGAAAGGTAATACATGTATTAATATTGATAGAGTATATGGGCCTGGACCCCAGAGCCCACATACTCAATGGCCCAAAAGACACCAGCGGGGCACCCGCATCGGCCAGAGGCACGTACCGTCCAAGAAAGAAGATATCACCTGAGTTATTTGGATGGCATCGTCCATGGACCGCATCGTCCATGGACCGCATCGTCCATGGACCGCGTCGTCCATGGACCGCATCGTCCGAACTTCGCCCGGACAGAATGTGTTTTCCTATTTTTTGTACTAAGTGTTGTACTCAGCCCATTAGTGGCCTTATTTCGCCCAAAGAGGGCATGATTATTGTAATGGGCCTCCTAAGCCCAAGGCTAGGGGCCCAGATCCACATTTTTACCTATAAATAGACCTCAAGGGGCTAATTATAGGGGATTCCTTTCCCAATTGAGAAATATAATTACTCACTTTCTCTCTCTAGCTCTCACTTCTCTCTAGAATTAATACTCTATCATTTGGTGCTTTCATTGAGAGTCTAGAACAGATCAAGTGAGTACCCCTCGTCGCTACTAGACGCAACGGAATGACAAGAACTAGGTCAAAGAACACCGGAAGGAATGCCCCTCTGAACCAGGAAGGGCAGGGAAACGTTGCTGACAACGTCCCCAATGACCTCATCATTCAGGATGAGAACGCTCAGGAGATCGAGCACGCGACGGCTGACCTTCGCGTCCAGCTCAACAAGACTGCCCCAGACGCCCGCATCGGGCTCGAGGACAAGCGCAATGCTGATCGCACTTCGGGCCAGCAGGCCTCTCACCCTGCTGCTCCCCAGATCAACCCGGCCGCACTATCGGCCATCGTCGCAAGCATTCTCCAGGACCCCAACGTCGTCAGCGCCCTCGTCGCAAAGACAGGGGAAAACAACACTCCCGTGACTGGAGAAGTCGCGACGGTACCACCACCGCCGCCTCGGCCACAAGGCGTCACCTTCTTCGGCAACGACGAAGGCATCCTCGCCGCGGACACCCATTCCCATACTGCCTCTCCTACCCGGGATACACCGGCCCAACCTCGCGGTAAAATCTCGGCCTTCAATAGGTTGGGTGACATCGCGAGCCGTCGGGTACCTACGGGAAGGGTTGCGGATCGGTTGGGTGGTCGCGAGCCGGGATCACCAAAGGAAAGCTTTGGGTCCGTTTCCCGGACAACAGATCGGCCCCGACCAGACAAAGGCAAAGGAAAGCTGAATGATGATGACGCGCGTCACCAGATCAACCTGGCCCACGCGGCCCGGATCCAGACCCCTCTGGGTGGCGCTGCGGCCAACACGGACCCAAGGGACGAGATCATCGCCCGCCTGGAGAAGCGCCTCGCTGATATGGAGGCCCGAGAGGCCGCAGGGCGCGCAGCGGCTCACACATCCCAGCATCCCAACTACGATGCACTCCTACACAAGGTCAGCGCCTTGGAGAGGGAGTTGGCCGACCGACGCGACGAGCCCGTCATCCAAATACGGACCCGGACCCCCTTCTCTGCGAGGGTGCTCTCCGCTCCCATCCCAGAGAAGTACAAAGGGAATCCAATCAAGCCATATGGCGGCCGCACTGATCCTCAGGAGCATTTCACCCGCTATCAGAACAACATGATGATGACCAACGCTTCGGAGGAATACATGTGCCGCTGGTTCCTATCCACCTTGGAAGGGCCAGCGTATGATTGGTTCAACAACCTTCCAGAAGGGAGCATCGACTCATGGCAGGACCTTGCTCAGCGCTTCCTCACCCACTTTGCCGGGAGGAAGCGTGCGAAGAAGCATTTCGCCCACCTCCTGACCATCAAACAACAATCGGAGGAGACACTCCGAGCCTTCCTCGATCGCTGGACAAGGGAGGCGGACGAATGTGAAGGGGCCGACGAGCGCACTCTCTTGGCTTTCCTCCGCGGAGCACTCCGGCCTAGCCACTTCGCCCGGAGCCTGTTCACGGAGCCGCCGCGGTCATACCTCGCGGCGCTCCGACGCGGAGATAGGCACGCTGATGCCGACGAGCTCCTGAACCAGAAGAAGGGTGGGGAGAAGCAACAAAAGAAGGACTCCTCGTCCAACCCCCACCACCCGCCGGCCAACAAGGGACAGCACCAGCCAAAGAAGGCACACCAAGAACAAGGCGGGCAGCGGAGAGAGGACCGCTCATGGCGCCCAAAGTTGGAGGCACAGCGCATCCCCCTCACCCACCCGGTGAGCGTCGTCCTCGACCACGCTGAGGCGCAGGGCCTCATCGTGAAGGACCCCAGGTCAGAGGAGGAGATATTTGCGGTCCACAAAGGAGGGACATACTGCAAGTACCACCGCCAGACATCCCACAAGACCGAGGATTGCACCACCTTGAAGAGGCACATCGACGGCCTCATCCGACAGGGGGAACTTTCCCAATTTGTCAAAGGTGCCCCCAAGAGTAACACTTGGGTCAACCCTGGCAAAAGGGGGGAAGGATCCTCCGGGAAAAAGAGGGAGATCGGCGCCCTCAGTGAAGATGAGGACGAAGAGGAGCCCCGCGCGAAGAAGCATCACATTCACATCATCGTCGGCGGGAACACAGGGGGGGACTCGGCTACCCAACGGAAGAAATGGGCTCAGTCCCTATACGTTGGTGAGGTGACCCACGCCCCCCCTCAGCCGAAGCGGCGGCATGTGGAAACCATCACCTTCACCGACAAGGACCTCCCCTTCGGCCCCTTGCCCCACAGGGACGCCCTTGTCGTCAAATGCGAGATCGGCAACAACATCATCCACCGCAACTACATCGACACTGGCAGCTCTGTCAATGTGATGTACGTTGACACCTTCAGACAACTGAAATTGAAGAAGTCCGAGCTCCGGCCGATACGGACTCCGTTATCCGGCTTCACCGGGGACTCTATCGACGCCGAGGGCACGATAGTGCTTCCCGTTGTGGTCGGTGACGGTACCTGTCAGGCCAAGATTGACATGGAGTTCGTGGTTGTCAACCTGGACAGCGCCCACAACATGATCTGGGGACGGCCGGCCTTGGAGGACCTTGAGGCCATCATCTCCATGAGACATCTATGCCTCAAGTTCCCCACCAAGGACGGCGTCGGCTACGCCAGAGGAAATCAGAAGATAGCCAGGGCTTGCTACCTGAAGCTCACAAGGAAGATCAATGAGGCCGAGGAGCGGATAGACACCATCACCACCGCCTTGGCCGAAGAAGACACACCAAAGGCCGAACCGGTCGGAGACGTGGAAGATGTTCCGTTGGACGTCTCCCGGCCGGAACGCACACTGAAGATTGGGACACAGCTCCCCCAACAGATTCGAAGGGACATCCTCTCTGTCCTGAGAGCGTACGCCGTCGTCTTCGCATGGGGACCAGAGGACATGCCGGGCATCAGCCCAAAGGTAATCACACATCGGCTATCGGTGAACCCGGCCTCCTCCCCCATCAAACAGAAAAAACGCTACCTCTCAGCGGACAGGAGGGAATTCGTCAAAGCCGAAGTGGCCATGCTGCTCTCCATCAAACACATAAAAGAGGTGAAGTACCCCACGTGGTTGGCGAACGTCGTCCTCGCCCCAAAGCCACCTACGTTCAGAATGTGTGTTGATTACACTGACCTGAACAAGGCGTGCCCAATGGACCCATTCCCTCTCCCCAACATTGATCAGTTGGTGGATGAGACGGCGGGGTGCGAGTTGATGTCGTTCCTCGACGCGTTCAGAGGGTACCACCAGATATCCATGCACGAAGATGACGCGGAGAAGACTGCTTTTATGACCCCGGAGGGAGTTTTCTGCTACCTCGTCATGGCCTTTGGGCTCAAGAACTCCGGCGCCACCTACACAAGGATGGTAGCCCGGATTTTTAGAGCAGTCTTAGGTCGGACGATGGAAGCATACGTCGACGATATGATCGTCAAGAGCAAACAATCCACGACTCATGCCGACGACCTCCGGGGCATCTTCGAAATCATGAAGAGGTACAACCTCCGGCTCAACCCGAAGAAGTGCACCTTCGGCGTCCAGGGAGGTAAATTCTTGGGGTACCTGGTCAGCCGAAGGGGCATCGAGGTGAACCCAGAAAAGATACAAGCCATTATCAACATGGAGCCGCCCCGCAACATAAAGGAGGTGCAACGGCTGACGGGACGCCTCGCGGCCCTGAACCGCTTTCTCTCAAAATCCGCTGAGAAGTCTCTCCCCTTTTTTCAAATAATGAGGAAGGCCACCAGCTTCAAATGGACGACGGAGTGCCAGCAAGCCTTT